CATCAAAATCCAAATGTGACATACTAATTTATCCCTAAAAATGTTGGACAATTGTAACAGTCTTTCAAACAGCCTGTCACCTGATCTGAGTGAGTGTGAATTTGTCTGTAAGAATTTGTATTGTTTTAAAAACTAAATTGGACTTTTTTGTGTACACATGTACTTTTATGTATTTTCAAATATGATTTTTTTGTTTACATTGGAAAGTCATTGCTTAGGGTTGGGCATCATTTTATTTTGAACAATTCTGGTTCCTTGTTTTGATTCCAGTTTCCAGCGATTCCTGATGTTCATTATTTTTAAAGCATGGTCAAAAGAGTTTACAGGATTTAAATGAGGTAGCTGCAAACGTTGTCCATAACCAAGTTTTACAATCTTATATCAAGCCAAAAGTATTTTTGATATTGCTATGAGACTAGTAGACTAAACAAGAGCAGAATGTGTTAGGTTACTTAATGTTGTTAGCCTGGAAACTTTTCTGATTTCAAGAAGTCTAACCAAGTGCAATTCAACCTGGAAAGACTCACAAAGACAGACTGAAATTAGGAGGTTTATTGACATGACTGGACCAACGTGATTATTGACATGAACAGCATTAGAGTTTGGCGCTTGGACCCTGGCAGAGGACGAGAGCCCTGAGTAAAGCTGACATCTCATACGAGATGCTTTAAGTTAGGGGTAGGAGATTTAATCCCCCCCGGGGCCTGACACTGGTGGTGGTGGTCAAAAAAAAGAAAGAGGAAGCTAACAGGTTGTGTTGAATCACTTCACCACAGACTCCCATCCTGAGCGACGGTGGAGAAGAAAAACTCCCTGTTAACAGGAAGAAACCTCCGGCAGAACCAAGCTCAGGGCAGGCAGCCATCTGCCTTGACCAGCTGGGTTGGAGGACTGGAAAGAGACATGAAGAACTGGACCAGGTGCACCCCCTTCAGAAGATGAAGGGTGGAGGAGGGGTGGTGGTAGGTTGACGGTCAGCTGGCATGCAGATGGGGCGATTGAGACGACTGGTTTTTAATGCACTGGCAGACAGGAGCTGATTGGATGTGGCTGGGATTGTGATGATTAGACGCAGCTGAGCTTGAGACGTGGAGGTCTGCAGGAGCAGGTGAGGCCATCAGTCTTCCAGAGTTTAACTTTCGTTTAAACTCCATTTGTCTCATTTCACTGCCAGATTATTCCACTTAATTTGAGAAGATTCAGACTTTAACCTCATGAAACACAATGACACATACCCAGTGTCTGATTCTGCCATAACTTAAACATGTTACTGAGCTGATGTTACAGTTTTAAGGTCTAGTATAATTGTTAGCTGACTCATTGTTGGTATTAGACCTATTTTACAATTTTACTAGAAGTGTCAGCAAAGGCTTATGCAGCAAGTCAAAGATAGAGCACTAAGCAGTCTTTAATCATGTTGGTTGCAAACCCTCCTTTGCACAACATAATCTTGTTTTTTTATCAAAGTAAGTCACACTGGCGATTAGCACACACACTACCTGTGGCTTTTCTTTGTTGATGATTGGGCAGCACATCTGAGGAGTCTTTTTTTGGTCTTTGGCGACTCACATACTCTTCTGTAGTGTTGAGGGGCCCTAGCGGTCTTGCAACCCAGGAATATTTTAACCACCTCAGTGACCTTAGCACCAGAGATTGGAGAGCCCAACCCAGGGTTCCCAATGTCTTGTTCACAAATAAGGGAAGAATGGAGCAGGAGATTGATAGGCAAATTGGTGCTGTGCCTGCAGTGGTGAAGCAAGAGCTGACCCAAAAGGTGAAGCTCTTGATTTAGTGGTTGATCTACGTTCCTAGCCTCATCAATGGAAACAAGCTTTGGGTAGTGACCAAAAGAACAAGAAAGCAGATACAAGCAGCCAAAATGAGTTTCCTCCGCAGGTTGTCTGGGCTCTCTCTTAGAGATAGGGTGAGAAGCTTGGTCTCAGAAAAGAGCCGCTGTTCCTCCACATCAAAAGGAGCCTTGGTGAGGTGTTCCAGTCAYGTCCCACTAGAAAGAGACCCAGAGGAAGACCCAGGACACGTTGGAGGGACTATGTTTCTCGGCTGGTTTGGTAATGCCTTGGGATTCCCCCAGAGGAGCTGGAGGAGAGCTAAGTAAGTCTAGTTTCTCTTCTTAGGCTGCTGCCCCCATGACCAACTCCAGATAAGCGGAAGAAACTGGATGGATGGATAATTGGTTTTCGGCAACTTCTTCCAGTTGCTTTGTCTGGATATCAAAACTAGGAATCGAAATAAAATTGAATTATTCCTAAAGAATCGAAACATTAATCCCAGTTACAATTAATACTCGATGCCAAACCCTAGTTGGGTTGTTATGCATAAAATGTGTAAAATAAAAGTTTGACTTGACAAAATCACATGAATTAAAGGAAATTTTGTATGAATTATCTTAGGCTCGCACCTACTTCACTTTTTATGAAACAAAAGTTTGAATAAATCTACAGACAATAACACTTTCATATCATCCCAACTTTTTTTGTGATTAGAGTAATATGTGAAAAATGTTAGTTTAACAGGTAGCTAAAGTCACAAATGTTACATTTCAGGGTATTTAAAGTCATGGTTAACAACGTGTCATTTTCACTGTTTCATGGAAAGTCCAGATGGGAGGGAACATTTTCCCTTCACACTCTATGTTAGCCTTTACACTGAATCAACAAACACGCTTTCTCAGTCTTCAGCAGTCATTCTTGCACTTTTAGCGCTTCACCCTTTGGGTTAAAGTGTAAACCACTGTAGTTGTGAGCACTTAACTCCCTTGCTTGCTGCTTTGTATATTCCCTGTATTTCTAGATGWCCAGAGACTACTATGGATCATTAGCTCAGAACAAAGGAARCAAACAAAAGACGATGACAGGTTGAGTGAGCAAAGTGCAGGCAGGTGCGTTTATATGACTGTGTGTGTATTTTTGTCTATCCATGCATGTGAAGTCACTGAACTCCATTGTTTGAGATAGTGGTGTWGATGCTCAACCAGTCTCCTACCATAGACTCACTCACATTCTGTCATACTTTCATGAGCATGTTTGACAGATGTGTGTGGTTATACTGTCTGTCAGTGTGTGGCCAAGTGTTTGTTCTCCYTCTGCAGATCTGTGTGGCCACAGTGTCTTGTCTTTGTTAGCCAAAACATTACAGATGGTCTTGTAATCCAACTTTTGGGGTTTCTTTTTTTTTCTTCCACATTTGTAATTACATGCTAAATTGTTTGCCTCTGTTCCTGTCTGGAAACAGTGATTATTTCACTTGGATRACCAAAATCAGTTATTTTAACTTATAACTTGCACATCACCGCAAGAAAAATAAGAAGTGCAGCTAAATTGTAAAGGAAGRGTGGCGCTTGCAGATGAAATATGTTAATAAGCTGCCAAGGCACGAGCACAACTTCTGGTTAATGACACAACACTGTAATTTAGCCCTCTGGAGGGGAGAGAGATGAGCATCTTCATCACCGCAAGTCCCCCTGTCTGAGAGAAGGATTCAAGCAGACAGCCAGCATTAAACCACCGACGAGAAACACAGAGAAAAGCTTCCCGTCCCCACCTCCCATGCACATTATCCCTTCAACCAKTGGAGAGGCAATCAGTATAGAGGGGATAATTTCCTTGAAATGCCTTAATATAGACCAGATGAAAGTAAGAAAAAATGACGGAATAGTCATAAAAAAGACAAAATGTTAGTCATGAAGCTAGAGTGTTAGCCAAAGCAGCAGGGGGGGTTGGCAGGAAAGTGGCTCATCAAGTTATTGCTGGGCATCCAGCCACCATATCACATCCYTCACAGTGTTGCATGTTGCATTACACACAGAAATCTTTAACCATTCCAAATCCATCAACCAGCCACTCAGACATTCACAGTGCTTCTCCRTTCCTACTGTTACTTCCAAACAAGGCCCTTCTTTTTGCCATTCTTTAAAGACATTATAGATACTATAGCTACCTGAGCAGACAGGCAGCAATGTCCTGACATGGTTCTGAAATCATCACAGGTTGATGAGTTAGCTGGCTAAAAGGTGAATCCAGAAAGAAGTTTGCCTGAAGTGTTCACACTTCAGGCAAATGATCTCAAATCTGAATCTTTTTTTTAATTTTTAATTTTTTTGCCACTGGGACTCGTATTAGCTTTTTTCATGACAGTCTGAACGTGACAACTCTGATTTTTTTCTAAACCAACCCAGGCTTTTTCAGTAAGTGGTACTACATTGGAGACATGTCTGATGTTTTTATAGTGACCCCAGTCTGAATGATCATGCCACATTTTAATCAATGTTTCCTTCAGTGAGGTAGAGGTAAGCGGATCAATCCAAGTATTTAGAACATTGGACCTCATGCAAAAACCATTTGTACGCACAGATTTGTTCTTAAGTTGTGTGTACGAGTGATTTAGGAGAATTTGTGGCATTCACCAATGTTTTCGT